TTTGACCACAAGAATTGAGGAATACAATAGAGACGACTCGCCTAAAGGCATACACACGTCAGTGTGGGAAGGAAGCGACCACAGCACAGTTGAGTTGGGAGATAAGAGATCAGTCAAACAACGCATTGGAAGCGCTGCACAGAGTTTCCAGTTTGGTCTAATGCTTGTTGCAGCAAGTTAAAAGTTGGCAACACAATAGTGGGATGCTGTCACGATTTTCCCAATGGTTGCGAATTTTGTCTTCAGTTATGAATGCCCTAATACTTTTAGTGTACGACATACGATTATTTATGTGATTTTTTCAAAAATTTTCAAACTTGAAACTCCTAGCCCTGATAATGGGTGTTGTCAGAGTCTTCTCAAGGATTGCGAATCTTGCCTGCAAATATGAATTTCAAGTCCGTGTAGTTTTCGAAATCTGACGTGTTCTATGATTTCTTTTTAATTTTTCAGAAAACCTAGATTTTAAAAAATTCAAACAAATTAAAATTCCTAAATTTGAAGTTGGGTACTGTGAAGGTACTCACAGGAGTTTCAAAATCCAAATCGTTTGTCCAGATGCGACTGCAAAACAGCTTTTAGTTTTCGAGATACTATTTCAAAAAAGTTTCAGAAAATTTTTTTTGTCATTTTTTGAAATTTACAACTTTCTATTTGGAGCTGTCAGATTGCTATCGGTGGTGCGAACCTAACTTACAATTATAATTTTTCAAATTTTTGTAACTTACGAGGTATGACGTTTTTTGTGATTTTTATAATTCAAACAAATGCGTTTGAAGAAGTGCGAGTCGGATTTCTGGTTTCGGGCTTGTCGTCTTGCTAGTATATACAACGAATACTTCAAATGTGACATATTGTTTGACCCAGAATGCAAAACAGACTTCTAAAAATGTACACGAAGTTCTTCAAAACTCAATAATACGAATCAGATACATGCACTTGGCGCATTTGATGCAAATGCAACAACTGTAGAACCCTGAAGAAACTTACACTAATAACTGAAAACTAAACTTTGAACACTGCAATGACTGGGTTTTATGCGAACCCTTGAACTTTATTCCTTAATCATGTGTTATGATTATTATTACTGTTTTTTTTGAGTTTTGAAATTCTCAACCCTTTATTTGGAAACTGTCAGAGTACTTTCGTGTTTCGCGAATCTTGCCTCCAAATCTGACTGCTAAATTTTTTCATAGTTTTTGAGAGATGATTTTTGCCGTTTTTTCAAAAAAATTCGGAAAACTTGAATCTAATCTTTTTTAATCAAAGTTTGAAATTCCCAGCGTTTTTTATGGGGGCTGTCAGATTACTCGAGGGGGCTGCGAATCTCGCATCCACATATGAGTGCTCATGTCTCTGTAATTCCGGAGATTTTTCGTTTTTTCTCTCAAAATTTGAAATCAGATGGATACGGTGCGCAAGGTTTTGAGGAGCACATCTAGATAGGAATTTTACCAAAAACCAATGATGATCAATAGACAGCTTTGGAAGAAAAATCAGTGCCCAGAGAAGTGGTCATCCCAAGTTGAGTCGGAAACAACAAGCAAAATTCTCGGGCACAAATAATAACAACTAAGACAGAAACTCGGGCAACAACTGACAAGGGATATGAGAAACCCCCAATGCTCATGCTTCAATTTCGAGGAAATAAAAATCAACCGTTTGGAAACAAGGTGCGCAGCATCACAAACGCACAAATTTTGGTTACGACCCGGAAATTGAACTTTGCTCTTCCTTCCCTTAAGTCGTCAATCTTCCGTGCTACGAAAGGCAATGTGGTCTATGTATAATTCGTCCGTACTCATCAAATATGAGGTTAAAAGAAATAGGCCAGATAACCATTGGCTCAAGGTTCAGGGAAACTACCTCTTGTGTTTTTGTATCTCATCCGGTCGGAGCCAATTTGGTTTGCTTGAGACGGGGACATCAAGATCGTGTTACAGCTTTAAAGCTACTATCAAATTAACCTCATGCTAGAAATCAGAACGTATCCATGGCTAGATCTCTAGAGGCCTGAAACACGCGAACGCCGTTAAAAACAGGGTTGAGAGCTCAAGAAAATACCATTAGTTTTTCTTGGACAGTGGACCTTTGATCGATATCAGATGGATCAACCTAAAAACCGCCTCATCTCAACATGGCTGCGTAAAATACACCACAGTATTTAAATTCAATACTCACATTTGACACGAGTCTAGAATCAAATAAATATTATAACCAAATTAACTCTAGAAGATTAAGGAAGTAATCAGTTTAAGCTCAAGAAGTTTGATTGTCTGGAACAGTGGCTCGCATTACTCGTCAACCTGCTCAATCAAGTTACTCCTTGCTCCAGTATTATTACTCTGACAATGGTTTTCTGCGTTCTCTATTATGAACAAGACAGCAAAACTCGAATTGATTAATATTGGACAAGTTGCGAATAGCAATTTGATTCGAGAACGATTTTCCATGAAATTTCCCGCATTTATTTATCGTTTCTTCTGATCTTTTTTGTTTTTCATTTCAGTTGCTGCGATAATTTTGAGCATTACGTGGCCAATTCAAATTTTTCAGAAAACAAAAACGTTTCACCCCAATATCAAGATGAAACTTCAGGATACATACGACTCAGGATACATACGTGCAAAAAACCTAGATTTTAAAAATTCAAACTATTTAAAATTCCTTAATTTGAAGTTGGGCACTGTGAAAGTACTCACAAGAGTTTCAAGATCCAAATCGTTTGTCCAGATGCGACTGCAATAATGCGCTAAAATTTTGAGATGTGATTTCAAAAAAGTTTCAGAAAACTTTTTTTTTGTCAATTTTCGAAATTTACAACTTTCTATTTGGGGCTGTCAGATTACTATCGGGGGTTGCGAACCTAACTTACAATTATAATTGTTCAAATTTTTGTAACCTACGAGGTATGACGTTTTTTATGATTTTTTTATTATTCAAGCAAATGCTTCTGAAGAAGTGCGAGTCGGATTTCTGGTTTCGGGCCTGTGATCTTGCTAATCTATACAACGAATACTTCAAATGTGACATATTGTTTGACCCAGAATGCAAAAACAGACTTCTAGGAATGTACACGAAGTTCTTCAAAACTCGCTACAACGAATCAGATACATGCACGTGGCGCACTTGATGCGAATGTAACAACTGTAGAGACCTGAAGAAACTTACACTTATAACTGAAAACTAAACTTTGAACACTGCAATTCTTAAATCCTGTGTTATGTAACATTCGCCCGGAAGATACATATCGACAGATAACAAAACTAAGTCTTAAGACGACTGGCTAGCGCCTAAACAGAGCTTTGTATGCTTTTCACCGTCTCTACCAAGCCAGTACTTTTCGGTGGTCTTTCTAACATCGGGTCGACAAAAACGTTACTGTTCTCCGGCTTCGACCAGAACGCTCAAATTAACTTAATTACATGCAAATAGTGAGCTCATGGCTGGGTCTCAGTATCCCCAGACCACGAGGTCACTCCTAAAAACAGGGCTACTACTTATTATATTACTATTGTTTTTGTTCAGTAGATAAAAATCATCATCTCCATCGAAGATGGATCAACCCTTTCCCCCAACTCCTAGCACCTCATCCTTGTCAAAACTAATCCAAATATCAATTAAATTCAAGTCAGGACATGACAGGATGCTAAAAGTTCACACGAGTCAATAAAAGTTTTCCGTCCCGAGACCCTTCCGGATTCTTGAATCCGGTGAATCAAGCCCGTTGATCTCGATTTCTTTCCAATCCGGAAGGCTGATTTCTTACTCTTCACCGTTGTTCGCAACGGCTTTGCAACTATTGTAGCAGCACAATAGTTGCAACTCGGAACGTTTTCTGCAATCTGCTGCTGTTTTTCTTATCACGATTGTCGTTGCTATCGTCAGCGCAACTAATGTTGTGTTTCTTCTCTCGTTTTTTGTTAAAATGGCCGTTTCAGCATTTCTCAGAAATGTGACGTCATCATTCGAATTTTTGAAATTTTAAAATACTAGAATATTCCAGCCCTCACCGTTTGGCTAAACGTTCCAATAACGCCCTTAGTTCTTAAAAACCACCAATCCGGAAGGCTTACTGCTAAAATTCCGAATTCTGCAGAGATTGCATTTTGGCCATTCTGGTCGAATGTCACATTATTATGATTATTATTACTATTTTTTCGAATTCTGAAAATCCCAACCCTTTATTTGGAAGCTGTCAGAGTACTTTCGGCTTTTGCGAATCTTGCCTCCAAATCTGACTGCTCAATTTTTCATATTTTTTGAGATATGACTTTTTGCCATTTTTTCTAAAAAAAATTCGGAAAACTTGAATCTAATCTTTTTTTTATCAAATTTTGAAATTCCTAGCATTTTATTTGGGGGCTGTCAGAGTACTCGAGGGGGCTACGAATCTCGCAGCCACATATGAGTGCCCATGTCTCTGTAATTCCCGAGATTTTTCGTTTTTTCTCTCAAAATTTGAAATTCCTAACCCTGTAGTTGGGTACTGCGAGAGTTCTCTCAGGAGTTGCAATTTTTGCTTTCAAATGCTACTGTGCAAATGCTTTTTCACTGTGCAAATTCTTTTAAAAAATAGGCGGGACCAATCATCTAAACTAGTTTTGTCACCGGGGGTCCAAACAAGTAAACTAGTACCAAACCACGACCCCGACAGGGGATGTGGAAATTTCTTTACGAATAATTTTCCGCAACAAACGTCTGTACCTGGCAAATTTCTTGCAATTACAACAGATGCAGAAATATATGAAGATCATTTTAGAGTGTAACAGGGACCAAGAGCTCTGCAATCCTACTTGTGAATCCCCAACAAAAACAACATCTATTTATAGACTTGGCCAAGAAACATCGGCAATCAAACAGCTTTGACTTAATTTTTATCAAGATTATGGATAACTTAGACCATAAGGGGCTATCTGAACAACAGCAGTTTTCTAATGTCTGAACAGCCGCTTTTATTGATACGAGCAGTTTTGTTCTGTATGTTTTTTGTTTTCAGAAACCAAATGGCAATACGTTCAGCCATAAACGCTGTTAAATCTCAAGCACTAGGAGTGGCTGAAAGCTTAACTCCTCTTTTGAAGGTAATTACTTATGGCCAATGTGAGAAATATACTTCGCTGATTTTTTAAATCTTTCAGTTTCAGTGTATTGGTATCAAATTTCATCAGTGTAATGAATTTCTAATTAGATTTTTGTTCGATAAATTTTTGGAAGATGTGACTTATTATTGTTGTTTCAGGAATCAAAATTCAGAGAAAGTGGCGTTCTGACCCCTGAAGAGGTTTGGTTTCAGTATTATTAAACACAGACAAAAGTAAATTGTTCTCAATGGAACTCTATTTTCCAGTTTGTTGCTGCTGGTGATCATCTTGTGCATCAATGTCCTACATGGGCATGGTATGTTTGTCGCTACAAGTTTTGCAGACGTCTTTCAATTGTTTGCATAATAAGATTTTGTTTGTCATACAATTGCTTTAAAATATGCAAAGAAAAATAAGAACAAAAAGTTTTTTTTATTTTATGTTACGCCGTATTGAACTTTTCATCACTTAAGAATTCAAATCGTTTCGCCCAGTCTAAATGTAATTTTAAATGCAAATATGTTGTGGAAAGGACGTGTTTCATTTTAAGTTTTACGGTTAGCACACAAGTGAAGCGTATTGTCATATTACGGCATCCTTTTTTCCTACCTAAATCGCAAATAAAAGTGTTATTTTTTGGTGGAACTTTAAAGCATTATATCTGGTTCATTTTTGCTACAATTGTTTTATCGGTGTATAGGTGACTAATTTTTTTTATAAGTTATAGGTGACTAGATCCTGTTTGATTGAGACAGGTTTTCAGAAAATGTATGCGATATGTTTTCTGTTTTTTTAAGACGAAGTTTCAAGGTTTTCGTGAGAACTTCTTCTGATTGTTCAAAAAGTCAAAACAAAAATGGTGCCGCAAACTTCCCTTTGGGCCTGCATATTACGCTAGTCTTTTTTACCTTACACACGTTCTACGGCCTCCGAACATTTCAGTTGGGGAATTTTGACCCACTTTTTTGGATTAATTTCATTTTCTCTGAATCTTCGCTTCCAAATCAGAGATTGAGTGTTCAATCAAAAGAACATGTTTTGGGGATCTCCCCTGTATAAACTGGTACACCTTAGTTTTTTGTAGAAAAAGTGTTATGGTTTTAGATAGAAAATGTCCAAATTTTAAAATTTTGACCAATTTTTAGTGCATTCGGGAACGTTCCTTGCTTTATACATTGATTAAATAACTTTGACAAAGGTTCGCTAATAACCGTCGACGAGAGTTTCAAAATTTGATTACTTATACCATCCGGACCTGAAGACCCCTTATTTTTAATAAGAATAATTGTATCAAAAACTTCTTTTGTTGTTATTTCCTGAAAAACCATTGAATTAGGTACAGATTTAACATGCCTTAAGGCAATTTTATGATTGACTTTTTTACCACTTAATTTATTACCAATTTGTGCGAAAAACTGATTGAAGACATCAGCTTCAACTTCTATTTTGGCAGATGTTTTGCTTTGTATGAAATCGTTATATGCCTGAAAAATACTTTTATTGTTTTTCGATTTTTCGATTTTTTGTTGGTAAAATTTTAGTTTCGAATTTCTTATTAGCGATGTGGTTAAATTTCGGGACAATTTATATTTCTCTAAATTTGTCGGAGTTGGATCAATTATCCATTTTTTATAGAACATGTTTCTCTTTTGCATTTGCTTTTTAATATCCTGGGTAATCCAAGTTGGTTTTGCTTTATTATTCACCTGAGATAATGGGCAAAATTTATCTAAAATACGTATTAAGCTGTTTACAATGTAAGTTATCTGCTCATCAGCGTTTAGTGAACTTTGCATTTTATTGAGTTTTTCATGTAGTAAGAAAAGGAAATCCACCAGGTTTTTGTCATTTTTCATTGGATTTATGTTTCGGAAAACGCTCTGTGTTTTAATGTCATTTTTTTTACTTTTAAAGTCATCAATTTCAAGTAAAATTGAGTAATGGTCCTTGATTACAGTTTTTAAAGTATTTATTTTGTTCAAACAAGAATTGGTAAAAATATAGTCAATACAAGACTGACTTGAAGATGTAACAGGTGTGGGCTCAAAGTTGCGTTGGAGAAACCCATGTGAGTTCATTAATGTCAAAAAATTCTCACTAGTGATTGAAGCATCAAGTGAATCTATGTTAAAATCACCACATATAATTGTTTGGTTTTCCAAGTAGCCACCGTATCCAGGAAAGATTCTAGCTTTTCAAAAAAGTCGTTTAGTGCAGAAGATGGTTTTCTATACAAAACAATAAAATTTTTCGAATGTTTTTCATTTTTAACCGATATAGCTAGAAACTCAAGATCTGATTCCAATTGCAATTTTGACACCTTTAAATCCGATCTAACGAAAAATGCACAACCACCTCCGCGAGTACCTTTTCTGTTAGTAGTTATTATAGGTTGGTAGCCTTCAACTGAATAAATTGATAAGGGATCATTGTCCGTTAGCCATGTCTCGCAAAGGGCTATTATTGGTGGCTTAACCTCAAAGTCGTCAATAAGAATTTTTAACTCATCATAATGACATCGCAAAGATCTAATATTCAAGAAAAAAGAAAACTACTATTTAATACGCGCACTTGTCTCCCCTCTAGGAGTTCTCGATAATATAATTTACTCATTTATCAACAAAAATAAGAAACAGAAAAAATTAGGCGCTGACTTGCAAGCCACGCTCAAACATTCTTGTATGCTTCATCAATCCCAACCCCATAGAGCATGCAAGAATGTATGAATAACTATGAACCTTCCTCGTAGGGATTTACAACATATTCTGAAAGAGTTTTTCTGTTTTGCATAATTGCTCCAATAATTGTTCTCCTTCTTGCTCTGGGGAGTCACGTAATCGCTTCAGAATAGATTTAATATTCTCCGCCCGTTGAATATTATTTGCTCTGATTGGTGTCGTATTTCTTTCATAATCAGATACACTATAATTTTCCGTAGATTTTCCAGTTTTCGACTGAAATTTGTCAGATTTCTTAGTCGCTAAGTGTTTCATCATCAATCGCCTTTTTCGAACTAACGGGAAAATATTTGTAAATTCCTCTGTCGTCCATTTTAAACATTTTAACCTGACAATTCTGACTGGTATTTACAAGACCCAAATCATCAGCGTATTGTTTGAGTAGACGGTCTGCCGGTGGAAGCCTTTCCTTGAGAAAAATTTTTTTGTTGTTATTCGGGTTTCGAATGTTAGCCAACCAAGATTTTCTGTTGTAGATTTCACTTTTTTCCCCCAAAATATAAAAATTTAACTATCACAGCTGGGGGATAATTTTTCCACGTTCCAAGCAAGTGACAGGCTTTAAAATTACTCGGGCTAGTTTTATACTGAAGAAATTGGGCCAAAAAATCGCATACCTGATGTGACAACGGTACCTGATTGTTTACTATTGGCAGGTTCTCCAAAATTAGGCAATCCTTAGAAGAATACCTTTCCTGTGCAGATACTCTTTGCTCCAAATCATCCACTTTGTTCTCAAGATCTAGAATAATCTCATCTTTTTTGCCCAGATCCGTCAATAATTTATCGAAATCTGTCTCACATTGGTGTCGGAAATCTTTTCCAGCATCGAGGAATACATATCTTTCTCAAAACGTGATCCCATGTTAAAGGAACTCTCAGTTAAATACATAAGCTTGGAATTAGTAGTAAAGAAATTTCACACGTAAAGAAAGAATTGAGAAATTCGAAGCAAAACAATTTGTTTAAACGCGGCAAGAAAAAGCGACTATTCAGCGCTGCTCATTTTGTGGTCCCAGCTCATTTTGTGGTTGAGTAATTTTCCTCTCAAACTCTTCGCTCCCACACCAAATGACATCGTCCACGTGAACAACCAACAAACCCAGTAGTCTGTTTTCTTCACGTAGGAAGAACACTGCCGGATCACAAGTGGCCATGGCGCAACCCAAATTACAAAGTAGCGATTTTATGGTAAGATACCAGTTTCTTGAGCCGTCTTGGAGTCCGTATGCCACTTTCTTCAATTTCCACAAGAAACCGTCTTGGTTCGCTTCTTCTGGAGGTAACAAGTAAACGTCTCGGTTGATGGGTTGACCTTTAACATCCAGACAATGACATTTCCAAGTGTTAGCCACACTGAATCCTATAAGCACACGAATGGCGTCTTTTCCAGTGGTTCGGGAATCGGATCTGCATTTTTCTTTTTCTTGGAAACCGCGTACAACCAACCTGGCTTTCCAAACCGGTCCTGAATCCGTTGATTTTTCGGTAACGACACAGCGAACTGTAATGAACTCCTGTCCTGAGTCGCGAACCGCTTCATAAACATCGAAATTCTTGCAGTTTTCAAGCTCTTTCAATTTGGCGGTGAAAATTGGTTCTGTTAATGCGTCAGAGGTCACATTACTTGTTTCTATGTCCTGCCGTTCATTTGAATCTGCATATTCCCACTCATGAACGGTCTCTTTCCAGTCTACTGCAACCGTGTCTGAGTTCAAATTCTGGACATTCAACCAGGACTTGTGTTTGCCACTCGATTTACCTGCTTTACACACAATTTTCGCGGTTTTCCAATCTGTATCTCCTGTTTGTCTGTATTTGACTTAACTACGGATGTTTGGAATATCATCTCGCCGATGGGTTTGTTCTGTAGTTGGCAAATGTGTATTCTCCACAGTCGAATCATCATCGGAGCTACTCGCTGCTACTTGTTCAGTCGTCTCAGGGCTATTTCTGTGTTCAACTTCCCCATTTTCTTCGTTGGAATCAGCAATTAACTCCTCGTCTTTGCGAACAACTCAAGATTAATGGGTTTTGATTAATGTATTTCCATGTCCAAGGTGTAAAATTCATCCATCTCGTGCTAAAAATTTTGCGGGACCTTTCCAACGGCCATCCTTGTCTCTTTTGAAATAAACGATATCCCCTGCTCCACAATCTTCACCATTACAACGAATTCTTCTTTTTAATGCTAGTCTATTTTTTGCGGAAGCTTCGGCTTGCACAAACGCTTTCCGGCTGCAATGCAGAAAATTAACGTGTCTTGCATGAATTTCGCTTTGTGTCATTACACCGAAGACTTTAGTCAAGGTGTTATGGTATCGTGTAACGGGGTTTTTTTTTTAATGTTGTCTGTTGTCAAGTGTCGACAAATAACGTCCACAGTTATCAATTATCATGTGGGCTGGACTATATCGCGCTATGTCACGTGATTGCGTATGTTTGTTTCTTTATTTGTTCATCTTTATTTATTTAATTATCTGTTCTTCTATTTATTTAATTATGTTTAGTTTGCTTATATTTATTTATAATTTATGTATGTACATATTTATTTTTGTTTATTTTTATCACGTGTTTT